GAAACCGGATAGACTCGATTTGTAAAGATGACGAGAGTAGTAGTAGTGATTAAAAATGTTGTGTTATAATAGTTTGTAAAGATGTTGTTCAAGAGTAGTCGAAGTGATTTATGATGTTGTTATGTTGGTTAAAAAAAATTTAAAAAAATTCATACACACATATATAGTATACAGTATATGGTAATTATGTTAACTATCATTATAACATTGTGAAGTAGATAACCAGCACTCACTTTTCCGAATAAGGTTTATTGTAATAACATAATTTGCAATTGGTTTGGTAGAATATTTACAGTTTGTTTCAAAGACTTGCAGTACATGCATGTAAAATGTTTAACGGTTTTCATTTAAATTTTGAATTGTTTGTTAAGCTATTGTTGGATAGAGTAATCTGAAAAAAGGAGGGATGTAGTGTACTCAAAGTTGTATATCGCCCTCTATTATTGTAAGAGCAGAGAAAGTTCGAGTTGGTTGTGATGGGTTGTTGAATATGGTGGATAATAAAGACAACCGGTTTGGATTACTTAGATGTGGCTTTGTTGTTCATTTGTCTCAGTGAGTGAATGAGAGACATAACAGAGAGCAGCATAGCTCAAGTTAGCTAAACTGCTGGTGGCCCCTGTGTGTGTGCGCTGAACCATGGTTTTTACATAACCTATGTCCTTGGCTCAATTCCATCATTGCTTTGCTTTGCTTGTGTTTCAGCCAGATTGTTGAAATGCAAGTTTTAATAGTGCAGTGTCTTTTTGATGTGATGTTTAAGCCATTAGTCCCATGTGCAATATGGCTCATGTGTACTCTTCTAAAAAGAGTCTGCCGGTGTATTGTCACCAGAAGTACGCCACTGAAAATTGGCTTACCGTATATTTCCATGTATAAGACAAGGCTTAAAATAGAAAATTACGATTGAAAAGCAAGGATTCGTCTTATACACGCAGCAAATAACAATTTTTTATTTTTAAATCATGTTTTTATTATGTGCGGATCATCTGTAACATGCAAATTTACTAATGAAATGAAGCTACTAACAGTTAGTATGAATGAATGCATTTAGGGAAATAAGATTTTGGTGAACATTTAACCCATAAAATTGTATTATTTGGAAGATTAGCCCTACATTGGGCTTCGTTTTCAGCCAGCTAGATGCAGTATCGAGATCATAATAGTAGCAAAAAAAAGTAGGTAAAAAAGTAGATGAAATAGGCTGTCTCTTATACACATCTAGATGTGTATAAGAGACAGAGTGACATTCAAAAATCATTGTCTTATTTGCAGATTGCTTTCTACCCAAGTACAAATTCCATTTAACGGTATGTCGGTTAACCATGACCGTGTTATATTTTACTTAAAAAAAATTAAATCAAATTCAGTAAATGCAAAGCACTTCTTTGATGCTAGGCACTTTACTTAAGAGGATGCGGAGCCGTCAACAACAGCAATTCAGGTTAAGCGCCCTATTGTTTACTGTGGTCTTCACGCTCTGATGAGCACAGAACCACCGTCCACCCGTCCTGTTGCGTAAAGTGCCTAATGTCTCACACTCTCAGGTACATCTGGGGACACAGGGAGTGCAGCCATACAGGGAGTATGTGAGAGCAAGTGGATTGATATTATCATTCTTCTACCGAATGGTGGTCGTTGCTCAGAGATCCAGGAACTACAGATGACCACAGTTATCAAAGACAATGTTCATAATTTCTGTGGTAATTTTCTTAATTGTGATTAATGAAGTTAGATACTCACACACATTCAGGAAATCTACATCGATAATGAGAGATATGATGAAAATATCACCACTACCACCAACACCAACACTGCCACCAACACCAACACTGCCACCAACACCAACACTACCACCAACACCAACACTGCCACCAACACCAACACTGCCACCAACACCAACACTGCCACCAACACTGCCACCAACACCAACACTACCACCAACACCAACACTGCCACCAACACCAACACCAACACTACCACCAACACCAACACTACCACCAACACCAACACTGCCACCAACACCAACACTGCCACCAACACCAACACTACCACCAACACCAACACCAACACTGCCACCAACAC